TTTTATGTAGAATTTTTTGATTTTGATTAATCTTTTAATTTAAAAATAAGAATAGCGTAGAAAGAAAAAAGATATTTGCTTATATATATATAAATTTATATATATGTATATAATTCATATATATAATATATATTATAATATGATCAAAATACTAAGATCAAAAAGACGAAATGGACAGAAATTGTGTTTCTCGACGAAAACACGGGGGGTGTGGAAAACAAGACAAGACGTTTCTACAATGACATGTCGGTTCTTTTGAGTAATATATCTGGAAATTCCCACCGGTACCTTCTTAACACTCTTTCAGATGCAACTAGTACATTCCAAAATCAACCCTTAGAACAGACTACAGCCCCAAATGGCGAAGAGCCGACATCAAGGTGCCAAACCTCCCCGTCGATGTGAGCTCTTGGGGAAGATCAGCATGTTATCCCTAGAGTAACTTTTATCCGTTGAGCAACGACCCTTCCACTCGACACCGTCTGATCACTAATGTCGACGTTTGTCCCTGTTCGACGGGTGGGTCTTGCAGTCAAACTAGTCTAATAATTTGACAATTTAATCAATTTTGGTCCCTTTTCATCCGCACTCTGAATAAGGGTGACATCATTAAAGTTATACAAAATTTACCAAACCACATATATTAGAATTTAAAAAAAATAAAATTAAATACAACTCATAATTTTTTAAATACCTAAAGTCCACCAAAAACACCTATTTGAAAACACATTGATTAGATGTGATGGAATAATTAAGAGATTTACATATTGTGGACATGAAATTTTTTACCAAGAAAATACTTCCATATCGGCGCCAAGTTAGCATGGCGAATCTCTAAGTTCATAGGATTTTTTTTTTCTTTATTTTTTTGACATTTCTTATTGGCGTTGATTGGTGGTGATCAGAAGAATGCCTTTGCAGTGAGCACCAGAAAGAAAGAAATTAATCAAACCTAAAGCAGGCCCAACGGACCTTCTTAAACTCATACGCCTCTCAATCACAATATATATACAGAGACAAGTTGGGATGCAGATCGATTCCCCACAGCCATGGCAGCAAGAGTTCGAACATTTGAAGATAAACGATCAAGAACCCACCGGCAGCGGCGGCTGCGACAGCGACGATTCTACCTATGACAGCGACGATTCTATGGGTAGCGATTGTGACGAGGCCGAAGCCGCCATCCGCTGGTGGGAAGCCTTCAACCGTAAATGAAGCGAGAAATCGAAGCAGGTTGCCCAGGATTTCCTCCAACAAGTCGAAAAGAATCAGGTACTCTGCTTTGGTTAATCAATCGATCTGCTAGAGTCTGAAAATTTTAGGTTACTCAATAAAAAACAAAGTCATTGTCGTGGATATTGTTGGCTCTAACAAATTGGAATGTTTTGTGTTGAAATGCTCTGGTAGGGTAATGATGTCGACTGCTGTCCTCCACATTGGGTGCCCACTGTAAGAACATTGGTTTGGCATCATGTTCGACAAACTTAAGTGTTCTCTAAAAAATTTCTTGTTAAACAAGCAAAATAAATTAAAGGGAAGTTTTTCTATTTATTTACTTATGATTTAATTAAGTTCCTAATATTTATTGTTAATTATATATGGTATATATTTATTGTAGTATTATTATGGAATCCTAATCCTTTAGGAGAAGGATTACATAATATATATCTTATATATTTACTTACCATATATGCCACATGCCATAATTAGTTTTCTCTTTCTTGTAGGACAATGAATAAGTGGCAAGGACTATGAAAGGATGAGCTTTCCATACAAGAAGAGTTGTGGACGTTCATGAGAAGATCTAAGGAGGATTTGGAAAGATTCACCACAAGATCTTTGAAGATTTGGAAGATCGGCTATTTTTGGAAAGTCATGTTCTTACCGGATTCTGGAAGGCAAGATTTCCATTGGAAGTTCAATTCTGAAGATCTCCAAATCACATGCACGATTTATACATCAAGGAAACTCACCTTACATGAAGGATTTCGTCCAAATCAGAAAGCAATCAATTTATACCCTGCTTGAAGATCGAAGATATGCTGCTGACATAATTATCTTTCATTCAATATTCGAGCTTCAAGCCTTTTTAGTTTTATTTTGTTCACAGTTCAGTTCAAGGGTTCTTACGCATCCAAGAACTGAAGCTGTTTAGTTTGTTTTTCTTAATTTCATTCAAACACTTTTGTGATCAGTACTTAGGGATTAAGTACAGTGGTTAGCTCGAGGGATTCGAGAGATAGAAGTCCACGGGACGTGGCCGGAGAAGTAATTGATAGGATCGTGTGTAGTTGTGGCTAGACTAGAAGGGAGTTCGAGTCGTGTAAGTCCAAACTATACAAGTGTGAAAGGTTTATCAATGAATGAGCTCTGAGAGGAAGTGGGACGCTTCCCTGAAGAATTTTTACATCTTCGGTTTATTGCTTCCGCTATTTACGTTGTTTACCACGTTCTTACATCGTTTTGCGCACTCGAGTCAAAAATATACGTTTCACCCACTACTCATTTCCGACCAATGGAAGTTGACAAAATTATGTTGGAAAGTCCTCAATGTATCATGAGCAAAGTTCTGAACTCTACAGCAAATTATGTAATTATCGAAATCAATACTGTGGCTGAGGCCAAGGTAAGTATAGGTGTATCTTGTTGATTTGTTTGGATGCCTCTGTACATTGTAGGGTACATACTCAACTATTCGATTCAACTTCATGATAATATTCGATTATCGTATTCAATTCGTTGTACAATTTAATTTGTGATTCATATTTGATTCGATTAGGATAAGATAATAGAATATATTTCGTTTGTGGATATTTATTTATAAATACATAAATATATTAAATACAAAATTATATCTATAATTATTTTAATATTATATTTAATATATATGTATATATATAAATTAAATTTTGTATAATTATATCAACAAACTGAATATTCGATAATTTCGAATAGAATTTGGGCATATTTGGATTCGGATTCGTACAAATTTTGTATACTAAAAACTATTTTTATTCGAATTGAAAGTTAGAAACTTTTACGAATACGAATCACGTATCAAATCTAGCAAGTTTGATTCTCTTACAAGCCTGGTGCATTGATCACTCTTTAAGATTTAGTGTTCAAAAGCTGCCTGTTAGAAAATGGGACATGGTCTTACAGCGATTCTTCAAACTTGTGCAGAAGATGAGCAAAAGATTTGAGCTAGTGAGGATCATCAAAGCTGTTTTTATTGGTGGCATCAGAGCTGCTTTTCTTCTGACTCTTACTATAAAGGATGTGGAGCTGGACATTGAGAAAACTATTCGAGCAATGGTGTCCCGACCACCTGTTGATGAACCAAAACTTATAGAGTGCAAGCTTATTTCATCCTGCCCTGCTTGATTGATGCCATAGTTAGCTGTAGTTTTTTTATGTACTTAATATCTCCACAATTGCCTTAGGGAACACACCTCCGAGCTTGTTGATAAATATGCTTCTAACATATCTTTGGAATATCTGCTTGTGTGAAAGACATGCACCAGTTGCGCGGAATAAACTTCTGATATTGGTTACATTTTAGTATTTTACTAGTGGAATTAATTCAGGTTACATGTGAAACTAATGGAATCATTATGAGAAATTTGCCATACATCAGGTGTTTGAATTTCACCGAAAATAGCACGAGACTAATGTTGGGCTCAGATGCGCAAATGCGGAAGATGTAAATTAAATTATCAAGGTAACATGGTAAACAATAATCCCAATCCCAACAACTCAAGAATGACAAAAGAAAATCTCTTGCAATAAAACAAGAATAATTCTTTTATGATGTGGAAGATCATATTAAACTACAATCACAGAGCATACTAAGAATATCCCAAATAAATAAAATATGCAAGAAATAAGACACCAAGATTTAACGTGGAAAAACCTCCAAATAGAGAAAAAAACCACGGGACAACCTCCGAACAATTCCACTATATTTTCAAGATAATTACAATATCTTTTCACACTCCCTTACACTAGAAATGTAAAATATAGTGACCCAGTGAGACCCCACTCCTAAACAAGGAATAATAGAGTTGATACCCAACCCGGTTTATTTTTTCCACACTCACAGGATTTACTCAAACACTCTATTTTTATCTCACTGAAAAATAACACACAAATATTATTTCTGCTCTCTCTATTGTTCTCTCCTTTTTCTTCTCCATTGGTGCGTCTTCAATCTACTAAATGTCTCCCTATTTATAGGTGAGAAAGTACCATGTGAACAGATGCAAAAATAATTGCTCCAGCTTTTTCTTTGCTCTTTCAGATCAATAATTATGTGCAGCACCGAAATTTGATTCCTTTTCTTTTGTTTTCTTGTGGCTTTTGCTCAACTACTACATATTTTTATTGCTTTGTTTTGTTTTGTTTGTGGCAGCCACTTTGGCTAGATATAACAATTCTCCCCCTTCAGCCAAGGGAAATAAACTGTCAATCTTCACATGTATTCCATGCCGATCAACTCGGCACAAAGCTGAAGCTTTCCTCCTGTTACAACTTTCGTCATCATGTCAGCAGGGTTTTCGTCAGTGCGAATCTTTTCCAAATTGAACTGTTGTTCTTCCACTACTTGTCGCAACCAATGATATCTGACATCAATGTGCTTCGTTCGAGAGTGGTACATCACGTTCTTACTCAAATCCAATGCGCTCTGACTATCGCAATGGATATCGTATCTTTCCTGCTTCATTCCCAATTATTGAAGAAACCTCTTCAACCAAAGCATTTCTTTGCCTGCTTCTGTCATTGCAATATATTCTGCTTCAGTAGTCGACAAGGCAACAGATTTCTGCAATTTAGATTGCCAAGATACAACTCCTCCTGCAAATGTAAACACAAACCCTGAAGTAGATTTTCTACTATCCAGGTCACTTGCCATATCCGCATCTGTATAACCTTCAAGAACTGAGTTTTTTTT